CCAGTAATCGCTAGGCATCCCTAGTATCCAGTCATCCCTAATTATCCTTAATCATCCCTAGTCATCCCAGTCATCCCTAGTCATCCCTAGTCATCCCTAGTCATCCCAGTCATCCCTGGTTATCCTTAGTCATCCCCGTCATTCCTAGTCATCTCTAGTCATCCCAGTCATTCCTAGTCATTCCTAGTCATCCCTGTCATCTCTAATAATCCCTAGTGATCCGTACTCATCCCTACTCATCCCAGCATCACTAGTCATCCCTAGTCATCCTAGTCATCCCTAGTCATCCCTAGTCATGCCAGTCATCCCTAGTCATCCCTACGCATCCCAGCCATCCGTAGTCATCCCAGTTATCCCTATTCATCCGTAGTCATCCCTAGTCGTCGTAGTCATCGCTAGTCATCCCAGTCATTCCTAGTTATCCCAGTCTTCCCTAGTTATCCCAGTCATCCCTAGTCGTCACCAGTCATCCCAAGTCATCCCTAGTCATCCCAGTCATCCTTAATCATCCCTTGTCATCCCAGTCATCCTTAGCCATCCCTAGTCAACCAAGTCATCCCTAGTGATCCGTAGTCATCCCTAGTCATCTTATTCATTCCTAGTCATACGTAGTCATCCCAGTCATCCCTTGTCATGCCAGTCATCCCTAATCATCCCTAGTGATCCCTAGTCATCCCAGTGATCCCTAGTCATTCCTAGTAATCCCTAGTCATCCAGTTCACCCGTAGTTATCCCCAGTCATCCCTAGTCATCCCTAGCCATCCCAGTTATCTCTAGTCATCCCTAGTCATCCCAGTCATCTCTAGTCATCCTTACTCATCCCTAGTTATCCCTAGTCATCCCAGTCATCCCTTGTCATGTCTGGTCATCGGTAGTCATCCCAGTGATATCTAGTCATCCCGAGTCATCCCTAGTGATCTCTAATCATCCCTAGTCATCCCTAGTAATCCCAGTCTCAGTCATCGCTAGTCATTCCAGTCATCCCTAGTCATCCCTAGTCATGTCAGTCATCCCTAGTCATCCCAGTCATCCGTAGTCATCCCTAGTCATCCCAGTCATCCCAGTCATCCCTACTGATCTTTAGTCATCCCTGTCATCCCTAGTCATCCCTGGTCATCCCTACTCATCTCAGTCATTACTAGCCATTCCTAGTCATGCCATTAATGCCTAGTCATCCGTAGTCATCCCAGTCATCCCAGTCATCCCTAGTCATCCCTAGTCATCCCTAGTCATCCCAGTCATCCCTAGTTATCCCTAGTAATCCTTAGTCATCCAAATCATCCCTAGTCATCCTTAGTAATCCCTAGCCATCCCGAGTCATCCCGAGTCATCCCTAGTCATCTTTAGTCATCCCTAGTCATTCCTAGTCATTCCAGTGATCCCTAGTCATCCCTAGTCATCCAAGTCATCCCTAGTCATCCCTTGTCATCCCCGTCATCCCTAGTCATCCTTGGTCATCCCTTGTTATCCCAGTCATCGCTAGTCATCCCAAGTCATCCTAAGTAATCCCATACATCCCTAGACATCCCTTGACTTCCCTTGTCATCCCTAGTCATACCTAGTCATCCCAGTCATCCCTAGTCATCGCTAGGCATCTCTAGTCATCCCAGTCATCCCTAGTCATCCCTTGTTATTCCTAGTCATGTTGAGATATCCCTAGTCATCCCTATTCATCCCAGTCATCTTTAATTATCCCTAGTCATCCCTGGTCATCCCAGTCATCCCAGTCATCCCTAGTCATCGCTAATCATCCCTAGTCATCCCAGTCATCCGTAGTCATCCTTAGTGATCCCTAGTCTTCCCAGTCATCCCTAGTTATCTCTAGTCATCCCTATATTATCCCAGTCATGCGTAGTTATCCCTAGTCATCCGTAGTGATCCCAGTCATCCGTAGTCATCCCTAGTTATTCCAGTCATGCAAAGTCATTCCTAATCATCCCTAGTCATCCCATTCTCCCCTTGTCATCCCTATCATCCCTTGTCATCCCTAATCATTCTTAGTCATCCCTAGTCATCCCAGTCATCCCTGGTCATCCCTAGTCATCCAGGTCATGCTTAGCTATCCCAGTCATCCCTAGTCATCCGCAGTCATCCCTAGTCATTCCCAGTCATCCTGGTCATCCCTTGTAATCGTAGCCATCGCAGTCATCCGTAGTCATCCCTAGTGATCCCTGTCATTTGTAGTGATCCCTACTCATCCCAGTCATTCCTAGTCATTCCTAGTTATCCCAGTCAACCCAAGTCTTTCCTAGTCATCCCAGTGATCGCTAGGTTTCCCAGTCATCTTTAGTCGTTCGTTGTCATCCCTTATCATCCCTAGTCGTCCCTAGTCATCCCAATCATCCCTCGTCGTCCCAGTCTTCCCTAGTCATTTCAGTCATCTCTAGTCATTCCTTTGTCATTCCTAGTCATCCCAGTCAGCCCTAGTCATCAGTAGTCACCTCTAGTGATCTCCAGTCAGCCCTAGTAATCCCTAAAGATTCCTAGTCTTCTCAGTTATCACTGGTCATGCCTAGTCATCCTTAGTCATTCCTAGTCATCCCAGTTATCCCCAGTCATCCTTAGTTATCTTTAGTCATCCCTAAATATTTTCAGTCATTCCAGGTATCCCTGGTCATCCCTAGTCATCCCTTTTCAGCTCAGTCATCCTTAGTCATCCCAGTCATCCGTAGTAATCCCAGTCATTCCTAGTCATCCCTAGTCATCCGAGTCATCCCCAGTCATCCGCAGTCATCCCTAGTGAGCCCTAGTCATCGCTAGTCATTCCTGATCATCGGTAGTCATCCCAGTCATCCCTAGTCTTCCGTAGCCATCCCTAGTCATCGCAGTCATCTTTAGTCTTGATTTGTCATTCCTAGTCATCCCTAGTTATACCTAGCCACTGCTAGTCATCGTTTGTCATCCCTAAACATTCGTAGTCATCCCAGTCATCCCTTGTCATCCGTGGTCATCCCGGTCATCCCTAGTCATCCGTACTCGTTCCAGTCATCCGTAGTGATCCCAGTCATCCCTAGTCATCCCTAGTCATCCCTAGTCATCCCTTGTCACCCAGGTCACCCTAGTCACCATTAGTCACCCTATTCAGCCAAGTCACTTCGGTCACCCAAATCACCCTAGTCACCCAAGTCACGCAAGTTACCCTAGTCACCGAAGTTACTCTAGTCATGCAAGTCACCCTTGTCAACGAAGTCGCTTTAGTGACACTAGTCACCTTGGTCACCCACGTCACCGTAGTCACCTCAAGTCACCGTACTCACCCTAGTCACCCTAGTCCGTCAAGGTACCCACGTCACCGTAGTCACCCTAGTCACCCAAGGCACGCAAGTCACTGTAGTCACCCAAGTCACCCTTGTCACCGAAGTCACGCTAGTCACCTAAATCACCTTAGTCACCCAAGTCACCCTAGTTACCCAAGTCACCCTAGTCACCCAATACACCAGTCACCCTAGTCACCCAAGTCGCCCTTTCACCCAATTCACCATAGTCACCCATGGCATGCAAGTCACCCTCGTGACCCAAGTCACCCTTGTCACCCAGTAACTCTAGTCACCCAAGGTATCCTAGTCATCCTAGTCAGTCTTGGCACCCAAGTCACCCTTGTCACCTTAGTCACACTAGTCACCAAGTAACTCTAGTCACCCAATTCACCCTAGTCACCCAAGTCATCCTAGTCACCCCCAGGTCACCCTAGTCATCCTGGTCACTCTCGTCACCCAAGGAACCAAATTCAGCCTTGTCACCCTAGTCACTCTAGTCACCCAAGGTTTTCAAGTCACCCTAGTCACCTTAGTCACCCTAGTAACCCACGTCACCCTAGTCACCTAAATCACCTAAGTCACCCTAGTCACCCAAGTAACCCTATTCACCTTGTTAACCCTTGTCGCCCAATTCACCTTGGTCACCCAAGTCACCCTAAGTCGCCCTAGTCACCGTAGTCACCCAAGTCCCCCCTTTCTCCTTAGTCACTCCAAGTCACCCTAGTCACCCTAGTCACTCTAGTCACCCAAGGTACCCAAGTCACCTTAGTCACCCCTAAGTCACCCTAGTCACTGTAGTCACCCAAGGCATGCAAGTCACCCTAGTCACTCTGGTCACCTTAGTCATCCTAGGCACCGAAATGACCTAAGTTACCCAAGTAACCCTAGTCACCTAAGTAACCCTGGTCACCCAATTCACCTTAGTCACCCACGTCACCTCCAAGTCACTGTAGTCACCTAAGGCACCCAAGCCACCCAAATCACCCTTGTCACCCAAGTCACCCTAGTCACCCAAGTAACTCTCGTCACCCTTGTCACCCTATTCACCTAATTCACCCAAGTCATCCTAGTCACCCCCAAATCACCCTAGTCACCCTGGTCATGTTACCTAACACACCCTAGTCACCCAAGTAACTCTAGTCACCTAAGTCACCCTAGTTATCCAAGTCACCTTAGTCACCCAAGTCAACCTGGTCACTCAAGTCACCCACCTCACCCTTGTGACCTTAGGTACCCTAGTCACCCAAGTCTTCGTAGTTACCCAAGTGACCCTAGTCACTGAAGTCGCCCAAGTCACCTTAGTCACCCAAGTCGTTCTAGTTACCCTACTCACCCAAGTCACCGTAGTCACCCAAGTCATCTTACTCACCCTAGTCACACAAGTGACCCTTGGGTGACTTGAGTGATAATATGACAATATGGTAATTGATTTTGCAAATTTGAATTTTTGGGTTCCTATACTTTCTATTTTAAAGCCCAGTTTCTTTTTGATCGCTACGATCGCTGTGATTGCTGCGATTTTTGGAAAAAAGAAATGTTATGGGAACATATGGAAATTTTTCTCTAGCGGTCGCAGTGACCTCAGCGACAACGATATCTGAGATAGAAAATTTTTTATCTTAGCGAGCGTTGTCGCTGGAGAGTGGTTTCCATAGTATCGCTGTGGTCGCTGAAATTCTTATTTCAACGTTTGTAGCGATCGTATCGATCATATAAAAGCCAGACCTATAGCTGCTAAATCTCTTTTATTTTAGATGTCACAGCTGTGGGAACAAATCCAAGAGGCTTTCTAGGTTCTATGAACTGGATCTAAACATTCAAGGGCACTCCTCTCTCAACCAGTGCATAAAAGAATTTCTGAAGGAGGAAAAACTGGATGGAGATAATCAGTATTATTGTACCCAGTGTAACGGGAAACAGAACGCCGCGCGATACATTGAGCTACATACGCTACCTCCTGTTTTGAATTTGCAACTTTTACGATTTGTTTTCGACAGGTAATTGAGCTTCTGCCTCGGACCAGTACACTCAAAGTTTTTAAATGTATATTTAGGAGTTGTTTTCATGATACCGGGCCGACTTTCGCGGTGGCGCGAGTTCACTCCTGTTCCTTCTTGTGGTTCTGCACTTGTTTACATGTTACCACCACAAAACGTCATGCCGGCTCGAGTCACATCGGTGTGAGTTCACCATGGTTTTGGTACCGGATGGAGAATATCACTCCGGTATGAAATTTTGCAACGGTATCATGTAAAAGCGAAACTACCACTTGTTTCTGTGTGAAATCGGTCTGCTGTTAGACTGGAACTGGTAGCACATGCTTTCATGTCATTTCATGCTTTCGATATGAAATGACCCGGTCATCATCTGAACGCGATACGAAATCGAGAGGTCATCCGTATGAAGCTCGAGTTTTCTCATGTAAACTCGCTCTTAATCAATTGTTTTCCGTAGGAGGGTGATAATGGGGAGTTTTAGCATGGACGACGGCGATAGCAGCGAAAACGTCACGTTTAAACTGAATTGGTGGTTTTTTTTTTTCAATCTTTGTCGCGCTTATTCCAGTTCGCTGACAATGTGAAATGCAGGCGAATTTCCCTGAAGTTGATTTCGTTGCGACTGCACTCAAGCTTAGAAAGAGAACGAAAAATTCGTCGTCGCCTATTTGCGTTCTCCATAAAACGTTGAATTCGGCATTTTGACGTCGTAGTTGTGCAGTGATGGCGAAGAAATGTACAAAAGCGTGCAGGGTTCTTGTTGTCCCATTCTAAACCTATTGCTCTTTTTGACGTTCTCGTTGCCGTCGCCATCGTTGTTGCTAATTAAAGCTCTCTATTTATTCCTTTACAAACTTATTGACTCAGTAGAAACAATACTTTATCCGATGTTAGAATTGCTGAGAATGAGTTCTCTTTTCATACAGAAAAACTGGCTACAAGAAAAAACTGAACTCATTCATTCAGTTTCCTGATACTCTTGACATGAAAGATCACGTCAAAAGTGAATATATTGGTAAGCATTGATATTTCCTTATTTCCTTGCATGCTCCAAGCTACCCTGGAAGCCGTGGCTTCGGGCTTCGGTCGAACATGTGTCGGCCTGCGCGAAGCATCTTGCTGTACGCGAGAAAAAACCTCTGGTACTCAGGGTACTTTCAAGCTGCAATCACGTGCACAACGACACAGTGCGGCGATAAAGCACGTGATACTTTTTCTCGTTTAAATGGTCTTAGTATACTCAGGGACGTAAATTAGCCCAGAAGGAAGGAACTACCTTCGCCCCGTAAAAAGCTACACCAGTTTCCGGGTCTGCGCTAAAATCCAAATTCGACTCTTTGAATGCTTTATCGAAACACTTACATGTTAAAAACCATCATGAAGTTAAACAAACATCCTAAAGGAAATTTGCACACGTCCAGTTTGCATCTATTGTTTATTGCTAAAAACATAGCACACCAATTCTAGCGAACTGGATCGAAATCGTACACTTCTGATTGGTTACTTTCTCAAACTGTGCGTCCCTTTTCTGACTGTACAAGGGGTCATAAAGTCAATTGCTTTTGCTCGCAACCACACGAGCATTACCTGCTTAAAGCAACTGACGAAGGAAACCATCTTAGACAGATTTCCGAAACCGGTCTTGATATTTAGACAGTTTTTATCAGAACTCTATGGCTACCCACCACTGATTGTTGGAGCCGAAGCTCCTACACTTTATCAACATCGTTAAAGGAGTTATACGTGGTTAAGGTCGAGTGACAATATTATTACACTTGAAATGACTGAAAGAAATGACTGTCCTGTCTCAAGCAGAGGTTAAAACTACACTATACTTCGTGCTTAATACAGATTTCTTCTCCTTGTTTTTGCGAAAATAAACCGTATTTTTCCAGCGTCACTTTGAGGCAGGATACAGCAGCCAAAACCTTGGTCAAACGTAACACAGCATTACCGTAAGATAAATTTCGCTGAAGGTTTTGTTCTCCTTAATGTTTTTTTGTTTTATATTGATGTGTGCTTGTCGTTCACATACCAATCCTTCCTTCCGGATGACTGTATCGAGTTCTGCTCAGTATTTAGATTGTTTTGGAAACACTATGACGAGATTGCGCTGCGCAGACACTGGGTCAAAATTTGTCCCACATGAAATTCCATGGTGCAATTCGATGAAATACCCTCCCAGGGCCTCTTCACAGGAGCCCGGTTGACTGTGCTGGCCCGGTTACCGGGATGAATTTCGCTTCGGCTTCATATGAGAAATTTCAGCCCGGTTTTCGAGATGCATAGCGAAACACAAGAATTATAACTTTCGCACCTATCGTAGCAACTCTTAAAGCTGTATCGCTGCAGTTAAGTGGGATGCTTATGATGTGGAAAATACAGTAGGCAAGATGGTGCCATCTGGACCGCCTGAATGCATCCCGTTTTCATCTCGGTAACCGGGCTGAAGTGTGCATATAGCAAAATTTACCCAGATCTCGGGAACCGAGCTAGCTCGCTCTCTCGTATAAGAACATATCGAAAATTTTACAAAGGATTTAGAGGTAAGGCGAGATCTCGGAAACTGCGCCAGCCTGGTCAAACGCGCTCATGTGAAGAGGCTGCCAGTCTCGCGCATTACCTTCAAATGGGCAATATTTTTAAAATAACTTTTGCTTATCCTTTTCTGCAGGCTCTAACTCTGTCTATGAACTAAGTGCAGTGTTGATTCACTTTGGAGTGAGTGCTTATTCTGGTCACTACGTTGCTCATATCAGGGACAAAAAGGTGTGAATTTGACTCCCTTCTCACTGTACCACTTAGTGCCTCAATCGTTATACCTCACACTACTTAACCACAGGACCCCCATCTCGTGGATAAGGTACAACATGCACCATGACCTCTGCCCCACCCCACCCTCATCAGTGTTGTTCAGCTGGGGGCAAAGACGATCCAGCCGGACTTCAACATTGTTTCTGGGAGAAAGGTTGAAGTATTTTGTAACTGCCATTGCTTTTTAAGAGCTTTATTTTCAAACTAGACGTAGCAATGCCCATTTTTCGTAATATTTTTGTCCTAGATTGTAGCTCTAACCGTGGGGCGTAGTGGACCGTTAACTCGTGCTCCCTGTCCCATGATGCTACGGTGGCTTTTAGCTGCCAGCGATTCTCACTTTATCTGTTAACCTTATGTGAATAGGCCATTTCCGAGTTCCCCCGGGCCTCTGTTTCAAAACGAGGGTAGGTGCTCAGCCTTTGATATGGAAATCATTTTTCATTCTCATGCAATTAAAACTCATTTTCACCAGAGAGGTTGTGCACCTAGCCTCATTTTGAAAGTGAGGGTTTTTAGAACTCGGAAGTGGCCTATTAACTCTTTAGGCGGCCAAGGGTAAACCTCATTTTATTTGAACCCAGTCTTAGCAGCTTCGTTCAAGCTTTAATTTGGTATCAGTTTTCTCGCTGTTTTGGTATGCCTCGTGGCCAAATTTTTTCAAGACTCAAATTTTCAGTGTTTTAGAGATAAACCAACTAAGGTTACAGAGAGGCTTAAGTAAATGTTAGGAAAGGAAACAACAACTTTATTAACAGCAATGAAATACATAACACATACATGTAACCAACATGAAGAAAAAGCTGTTCAAGACAGTATAGTTTTGCTGATACAGATAGATGTTGTGTTTCAATTTTATCCTAGGTTTATGATAATGAGTTTAAAACAAAGAGGACAAAAATTAAACCAAGGATAAAATTGATCGACAACATATATGTCAGCATAACTATCCCGTCTTTGGAGATCGAGTGGTAATAGATCGCGTATTTGAAACCTGTTTCTTCACTGTTATTCCTGTTTGATAAAAGCTAAATTTACTTAACGAACAATAGTTTAAAATAAATCGTCTTTCAAATCTATACACCCAGACGGATACTTCAATCATCTAATAATGACCACAGATACTATTTAAGGTGATTTAACTTCTCTTAAATCTCTAGTCAGGCTCGTGGTACAAATTTAATGACGAAGATATTGTGAAGATGCAGGGAAAGTTGAAACTTTCACAAGATGAAGACGATGCAGGTACATACCAAGTGATTTGTTTCTTCTCTGTTATGTTGTCATAGATGACGTCAAAATGGGGTAGAAACGTGACAGTTTTACTTTAACTGTATAGAAAAAACAACATGGTAAATTGTAATCTGCAGTAAATCCTTTTTAGGCAATCGTCCAATTAAGACACCATCCCCCCTAGGAGGAAGGAAATCCCCCCCCTCCCCTCCCCGTTTCCCTGCTTCCATTATTGGTTTGGCAAGAAAACTGTACCGAGACTGTATTGATTAACGCTATTTATCAATAAATGTTCGACCCTTTGATCAAGGTTCAATACTATTTGCAATAATATCAGGCAAATTTCCATGCTAATCTCCAAATCTCCATGTTTTCCCTCATCAAAAACAAGATGTAGAGTACCATAACTCCAGGATGGATCTTCCTTGTTCTCTGCTAACAGCTCTGTTTCATCAATTTAAATAAGCCCCCCACCTTCCTCCCTCCTCCATTAAGTTTTCTCGATATGCTTTAAAAAGGATTTACCGTACTTGTTTGGTACTGACAGATTGTACTCTTAAGTGATATTACAAGGAGAATGAAATACTGGTTATTAGAAACATTCACTGATCTCTGAACTGTTGGTTACAGACACAAGTATAAAGCCTGCCAAGAGACCGAAATGCGCAAAAGGCTATCATGTCTCAAAGAATGCGTACACACTGGTTTACACTCTCCAAGATCATCAGACCGCTGGTAAGGAAAATCATCCGAGTTTTAAGAATTAAAAACAAAATTGTTCCTAATAATATGTATTTGTCAGTTTTATCTAAGCAAATTTTAGAGCGAGTTTTCCTCTGTTTCTCATTTTTCTGCCCCCTTTTCAAGCGTCCTTACACTTCGTGCGAACTTGGTCGTTCGCTCAAGACCTAAGTTATTTCTCAAGTTACTTCTTTCTGTCTCTAGTTCACAAGAAAAGAACCTCCACATTTACAAAACCTTTTATACGTTGGATATAGGACAATAATCTCTGTGATTGTACTTCAGAAGTTCAAAGATGTTATGCCCTTTTTGAGTTGCTTAGCCTCGTTTTGAAAGCGAGGGTAAACTTGGGCTCCGCGACAGATGAAACTAAACTCTGGTGAAGTCCGTCTGTGAAACAGCACGGAAATCCTCGTTCTAGGTCCCCACCTGTGTACCTGGATGTGAGTACGTACTATGATTGGCCAGTAAAGAAAACTATTGTCGATTTGCTAATGAGGTTAAAAGGAAATTCGGAGTTTATTTCCGGTAATTCATTGAGTCCGTTGGGGGCCCAGAACAAGGATTTTGGCGCTGCTTCACAGGCGTTACTTACCCGGGTTAAATAACGTCTGCGACGCAGGCTAGGGTAACCTCGATTTGAAAATGAGTGTAAGTGCGAAGTTTACGATTTTGAGTTTTAGTTTTCATGCCATTCGAAGTAACCTTTGTATAAAAGGTGTGGTTTTTGTCCGTT